ATAGTTCACTCAAGTCAAAGATTCAGCTTAGCAACAGAAGAATATGAAGATGAGAAGAGAAGGTGAAGTACGGATTTTATCATTTAACTATGTACAATTAATCCAAGATAATAAAATATAGATTACCTCGTACTTTAATAACTTCTAAATTTTTTATGGACATATTTAGCCATAAATTCGATCGTGGTTCAACATAACCGATCCAAATCAAAATAAGAACCATGTTCGATCGTTGGCTACGTAGTTTTGGAGGTAGTTCCACAATAGAACTACTGAACATCCACATCTTCAATTTAGTCGACCGTGTTATGCTAATTCCATCCATATGCAACAGCATACTAATCATATTTTGATAATTATTCTCCTTTAATAATTTTTGGTATAAATCTCCAAATGGAATATCTTTTGTTTTATCTGCATCATCGTTAATGTTTATTTTATTTTTATATTCATTGACATTTAAATCTAATCTTGTCATAATTGTTTTAATTATCAATTCAACATTAGAATCGTGTCTAGAGAAAAAATTATGTCCATATATATAAGTAAGGTTAAACCTTGATTAAAAAAAGTTACATATATGCAATTGAATTTTTATTCAATGAACCACATTGTGGACAGATATTCTGTTCATAATCAAAGTCACGATAGCATAATAAACATACACATCGCTTTGTAAATAATTCCTGGGCGTCAAGTATCGACAAAAGTTGTTTTTCTGTTGATGGCATATTGTTGGGAACAGGTAATCCTGTGTTAATAAAATATAAAAGATCATTTGTATGTTTTTTACTTAGGTTCGCTTGACGAGGAAGAAGCATAAAATTTTCACAATAATCAAATGTTAAATTGTTAGTGTAATCATGTAAAGGTAATACCAATGATGCACTTGAATTATCATCGAAAATATGAAAGGACATACTGTTTGTTTCAATACCATTTGTCTCTTCTTGCTCGTTAAATCTATATTCAATTAGATGATTATTGTCGTCTGTGTCGTATTCATCAGCATCACAAACAAAAGTACTACGATCATCTTCCCCATTAAGTGTTGTTGTTCGTTCGAATATTTTCTTTGTATGTTGTGTTGGTGATGATACGTCAGGATAATCCAATATTTGTTTTTCTAAACGTTTTCTTTGACGTGAATCATTTCTTTTACCATATCTTTCTCTTCTTTTTTGTTGTTCATACTTAACTTCAATTTCAGCCTCTATTGAATTCATTAGTATTCATGTATAATAAATAATCAAAAAGAAACAGTAAAAAATGGAAAATGTGCGAGTGAAGATATAAAACGCAAAAAAATCAAACGGCAGTGAAAGCAGTTATCGAACTGAAATCGCTCGATCTGATAAAAAATGCAGCTAAACAAAATAATCAGTTACTTCATCCAAAAAAAGACAACAAACTGAACTCATCGTTCATTTTCCGCGTTTAATATAGTTACAGGAGTGATCCTGGTGGTTTTTGTTCCGTTCGATTTAAGCTAATGGAAATGCATGGTCCTCCGTTAATACTAAATCGAACTTTCAGAAGCTTATAGCATTTTATTCCGGACGCTTTACTCTATATATACTGCTAAGATCTCTTTTCTGTTTTATTTCCTTAGTATACAGTAAGCGGTTGTGTATATATATATATACAACCGTCTAGACAAGTTTCTGTTAGTTTATCAATAGAAACAATATGTTTAAAACTACAATATCGATATGCCCAGTCTGCCGGCCATAGGTAGTTACCATTTCTCAATAAATCTGTCCTCATTTCAAAATGAAATGGGATCTACTTAGACCTTTATACATAAAGATAGTTAAAAAATCAAAGAGACCACCAGCATTACTTATTAGTCAAAAGAAGCGCAAATTATATTGGTCCATATTTTAATGTTGCTGTACTGACCATTTAAAGCAACTCAAGCGCATGAGACAAGAATCGATGGTGTAGCATAAGCACTAGCCATTTTACTGTTTTTTTGAGACTTACATGAAACGTGCCGTAATATGACAAGAAGTAATGGATACCAGCTTTACTTTGTTTTTTAAATAGTGATAGAATAATAAAGGTATAATAATATAAGAGAAAGTGAAGAAACCATTCCTTTTCATTCTATCGAGGTTGTTATTGTTAATTCTATTTCACGCCTTTTTGTTCACGACAATTTCAGCCATGATTATTTAAAACTTATCTTGTTTCCCATTTTTTTCTCTGATTTGAAAGTTCTTCGTGAAATTTTTACATACATATCAAAAAAAAAAACTTTCTCCGACCTGTCGTTACCGAGAATTTCTGCTCTTGCCGAGAGTCGTGATGCTAAACAATAGTCATGAGAAAAACGCAAGATAAGTTTTGATTCTGTTAAATGCGTTTTAGTTAAAAACTGTTTGAGTGTTAAATAATTTGAGGCATAATAATAATTTGTCGGTCATGGCGGATCTAATGAACATGTAAGCTGACATGTGCGACACATGCATGCTCTTATACAATACAAATGCAAAGAAGCCACTTTTTTGCTATAGGACTTCTGGAAAACTCGCTTAAAACGTATGAGAAACCTATAAAAAATAAATTAACTGAGAGCAATAAGTCAGGATGAAGTTAAAAAGCATCTGTGATATCGGTAAAGGAAAAATGTGATCTGAAGGAAGTCTGTCTAGTGAAAAAGGTCTTGACTACAGTTAGGCATGCACCAAGCGTGCTCACCTATTTTCAAATATTATATAATTTCGTGTGATTATTTTTGGCAAGCTCGAGCTATATAATGTTTGAAAATAAAATTTATTTTTCTTAAATCCTTTGTATGAATGCACTTCAAAGTTTGCATGTAGATACTGTTAGGCATACACTATATATGTTAAAATAAAATTAATGTGTTGTAGCTTTACAGAGAAAAATAAATTTTACTCTTAACCATTATGTGATTTCTAGTGGGTTTTCATGTTCCAACTAGGGGTGTAGCCGTAGCGGTTTTTGCTCTCAACTGTCAACGGTATCCCTTCAATTGACGTTCTGAACTGTCAACGCTACTTCATCAGTTGAAGTTCTAAACTGTCAACGCTATTTCGTCAGTTGACGTTCTAAACTGTCAAGATACCGCATTAGTTGACGTTCTGAACTGTCAACGCTACTTCATCAGTTGACGTTCGAAACTGTCAACGGTATTCATCGACTGAAATACAGTGATCTAAGGTTCTTAAATGAGTGAAATCTTCATTTTTTCCGGTAAAGGTCTGTTGTGTATCAAAAATATTCGAGAAATTTACCGGTAT